ACGTATATAATTGCATATTACCATTTAAAACATGGAATTTTCTAAATTTTTAGTTTGATGCCTTGATGGCACATAATCGCTTTGAAAACCTGACTATGAATCCCCATAATTTATATTTATATGAATATTTCATTGTGTTAATTTATTTAGTTATTTTAAAGAGAGCTTTTAAATAAAGTTTAGAAAAGTTATTTGCATGTAATTTGAAGTCAATAAAATTCATTGATAGAAAAAATTTTAAGGCGTATCTTCTCGCTTTTCCTCCTCCGAATTAGCATGGACTGCAGTAAAATTTAACAATTATTTTATGTATTATTTTGCACTGCTTCAACTGAAGGGGGCAAAGGCTAAGTGCTAGCCAAAAAAAATTTAAAAATAAGGGCTTAGTGGTTCAATGTCACATAGTCTTTTAACATCCAAGAGGGCAATATTGTAAGAGTGCCCATAGTTTTAACATTCCATTTCGATCTAATGGGGTGACTTAGGATTTTGGAGGTCTTTTTTTTTTTTTTTTGGGGAACCGAAAAGCTTAATATCATTAGAAGAAGAACGTAATACAGACACTTAAGCAGAAACAGAAAAGAAACAAAGACCAGAGCCAAACGACACCACAAAGCTACTGAGACAAACCAAATAAAGACAATTCGCCTAAACTTGCAGGTTGAAAGTGAGCAGGCTAGTTTTTATTCCACCATGATCAACAAAAAGAGCAATAGAAGGTGGTTGTCCAAAGACATGCTCTCCGAGTCCGTCTTCTTTGACGCCAATACTGTAAAAAACAAATACAGCTTCAACAAACCCCTCTATGACAGAAGGGTGAAGACATGTCTAAATTTGATAACAAATACCAAAGAAACAGTGATCATGGTAGAAGCAAACCCCAGTACAAACAAAAATAACCCACAAGAAAAGGTGAACACATATCAAACAAGACAACCACAAAAAGAAAAACAGAAATAAGTCACAGTGCTTAATCCTAACAACAAACATGGGAGACCTCTGCTCCAAATGCACACCTAGAGATCCCCCCACCCATGGTAGCATTGAGAAAAAACCCTCATGGTGCTTTCATTGATATCACTGCCTGCTTTATTAAACTTTGGTTCACATGATAAGCTTACTGCGTATGAGAACAAACTTGCTATACTTTCTCTTGCTAAGATCTGACAAGATAGATCCTCTGTGGTTGATTTGTGGGTGATTAACGAGGGATGGTGTTGGAGCAAGATATTTACTATTAGAACCTTTTCAAATATTGTTCCATGCTGCGTTTGGTTAGATGAAATTGTTTGCGAAGTTGAACATCAGCCTAAACATGATAAGACTGCTCTATATCTGTTGAATCTTAATAGTCATAAATTGGAGAACTTTGCTACCTGCAGACGTGGCTGTTCTGTTTCAGTTGCTCCTAATCATGTAGAAAGTCTTGTAGCTATTGGCAACATTCACATTCAAGAGCCTTGATTCTAAACCTGAATCATTACTTTGCAGTTTTTTTTTCTTTATTCAAGGACTTCTAGGGAAAATGAGTGCAGCACAATTTAGGATCTGTTTGGATCAACAATCGGAAAAATAACTTATTGTCAATTTGACTTTTGAAAAAGTAAAGTTGGGTAAAAATTAAAATGGATAAGCTGAATTGTATTTGGATTGGAGTTCAGAAAAGTTAGTTTGTAAAAATGAGATTGGTAAAAAGTTGTTTAGATTATGATTGAGTAAAAGTAAACTTGTTTATAAAATTACCAAAATGGTTTATAATTTTAATAAATAATGAAACATTATTAAAAAAAATAATTTTACATAATACAATGGATTTAAATTAATTTAATATAAAGAAGTGAAATTTAATAAGTGAATTAAATTTTAAAACTTTAGAGAAATTATAAAAAACATTTTAAATATAAAGTGAAACATGATTTAAAAAAATAAATTTACATAATACAATAATTTAAATTAATTTAATATAAAGAAGTGAAGTTTAATAAGTGAATTAAATTTTTAAATTTTAGAGAAATCATAAAAATTATTTTAATAATGATTGAGTAAGTAATTTTAGTTTGTAAAAATTATCAAAATAAGTAAGACTTTTATTAAACAATAAAAAATAAAAAAATATCAATTTACATAAGATAATAATTTTAAATTATTTATAAGCTCCTGTTGATCTCATATTTTTTATTATTTATTATAAAGACATATTTGAAAATAAAAGCATATTTCTATGAGCATATTTAAAACAAAAGTATATTTTTAACTTATTATTACTTTTAAGTAATTTAATTAATTTTTTGTTATCTATAAATTAGTTATTTGAGGCTTATAATAAGAACCAAAAGAGATAATAAATTCTTAACCTTTTCTCTCTCCATGTTTCGAAAGCTATAAGTTATAAGCTGTTAATTTTAGCTTATAGCTTATTGTTACTTTTCATACAAAAGCCAGATTGCTCAATCGCCAAGCCAAACAGCACAAATTCTTCAAACAGACTTATGCTTAAAAAAAAAAAAAGCTTATTTTCTTTCAAACGCTTAGCCAAACAGACTCTTAGATTATCTGACTGTTTTTGTGGTCCTTGATACCCTTAAGACTCAGCACCAGATTCCTCTATCATGTTGTATTTTCCTGTTTCTATTATCAGGTTTAGTGTTCTTTCTATGTTGGCAACATCCACATTCCTAAAACTTAATCATTACTTTGGAGATTTGATTTGTTTAAGGACTCCTGGTAAAAATTAATCCAGCACAATGTGAATCGATTTACAGCAACTGTTTTTTTTTTTTCTTTCTCATTTTGCATTTGTGCCATATATCAAATTTATTTACTTTCTCACGTACCCTTTAGTTTCATTTTTCCTAGCATTTTATTTACTCCCCCTATCCTGTTCATGCTTCACTTTTATCATGAGAAATGCATTCTTCCGTCCAACAATGTGAAATAATATATATGGCAATGGATGATGAGAGAGAGTTTCTATACTCAACAATGCTATAACACATCTTTAGAAGACTTTATGTATTCCAATTTCCAAATCTATTGTTTGGCCAAAAAAAAAAAAAACTCGAGCACTATTTACCACAATTGCGTTTCCCCTCACAACTGTTCCAATGATGTAGTTATACCACATCCTTGCATTAAAACGCATTCTTGTGCAGACGTTCAAATAAATGAGACGTCATATTTCAACAATTAGAACACTCAATATGTGCGTGTGTGTGTGTACACACATATATATATATATATATATTTTTGCTGACAATATCAACTATCAGAAGTTACAAATTGAGGTAGCAAAGAGGGGAGAAATAGTTAAGAATTGGTTTTTGCCTCCGCAAAGTTTAAGGATGCTTCAAGAGTTTTTGGGTGAAAAATTTTAACTTGCATGGAGAATTGTTATAAAACGATATGTATGTATGTATGCATGTGTTTATGACAGATACAATTGCTGCGTGTGGCTATATGTATAAATACAATTGTTGTGGATATTCATCACAAGTTTTGTCAAGGGCATCAGTCTATATGTAAATATGTATATCATTGTATATGACCATTTAAAACATGGATTTTCTAAATTTTCAGTTTAATGGCACATAATCGCTTTGAAAATTTGACTATGAATCCCCATAATTTAGATTTATATGAATAATTCATTTGTGTTGATTTATCTAGTTATTTTACTAAAGGGAATAGAACATAATAGGGAGCTTTAAAAAAAGTTCAGAAATGTTATTTGGTAAGTCTCTAGAAGTCATTTATTAACAAAACTTTTGAGGGGTATATTATCACTTCTTTTCTTTTTTTTCCCCGTTTCGGATTAGCTAATGCGGTGTGGCAAATAACTGCTTTTGAACGTCTAAAGTTTAACAATTATTTTATGTAGCATTTTGCCCTGCTTCACCCAAAGGGCCTAGTGGCTTAGTGATCACATAGGACCCGTTTGTGATAGCTTTAAGTACTTTTTAATCATAATTTATAAAATACTACCTCCGGTCCTAATTATAAGACCCAGTTGACTTATTTAAAAAGATTAAGAAAGTAAGTTAAGTTAGTTATTTGTAATAAATAAGTGTTGTCATTCCTAAAATATCCTTGCTAATTAAGTATATTGGCTAGAACTATAATTATTATAAGGATTATCTTGGAAAAAAATACATAAATATGAGAGACAAAATGGATTGGGGTCTTATAATTAAGACCAAACAAAAAGTCAAACGGGGTCTTATAATAAGGATTGGAGGTAGTATGAAGTAAATATGTTAAAAGAATTCTGTCTCAACTTACGTAAACTGTGCTTGTAAATAATTTTGATCGTGATGCCAAACAAAGCCATAACCTTTTAGCATGTAAGAGGTGGTGTGACCAATTTTGTCAAAAGCATTCCAGCCACCGGCGGGAGCTCTAGTGGAGTGACTTTCCCTTTAAAATGAGGGGCAATTTTGTAAGAGTACGCATATTTTTAAATTCCATTTTGATCTAACGAGTGATTTAATGAGGATTTTGGAAGTTGGGACCACTGGCGTATGCATATTTTAGAAGCATTTATTTGTAATTTTCACACACTATTATACCATAGGAAAAAAAGAAAAAAACAGAGAATTATAACAAAATTGAAAAAAAATTACGTATAAATTTTAATAACAAATAAGTATTTATCATTTTTTATTTTAAAAATTGTTATTTGCGAGTTGCTTTGCTGTTATTACTGTAACTTTTTAATAATTATATTTTTTAATTGGGATTTTATAGCCACTCTCTGTTTTTTTTTTTTTTAAAAAAAAAGCAAATGCCTGCACTTAACTAATGATAAGAACGCCATTAATAATGCACACTGCGACGGGAGCGAGCTCACCCAATCGTCAGAAGTGCAAACGACGCAGGCCTTCCCGCGCACAAAGCGATCTCTCTCCCTGCCCTCATTAATCAATGCCTGAGAGCATGAAGAGAATCTAAACCCTTCAACTGTCCCCTTTTATTGGAAGGCTTTTCTTCGAGGGATTTGTTCGTCACAGTCGAGCACTATCAAGCCGATGATCATGGACGACAGAGTCGCACCATTTCTTCCCGAAGAAATCATAAGAAACATTCTCAAACGTCTTCCTGTAAAATCCCTGATGCGATTTCAATGTGTGTGCAAACATTGGAAAAATCTCTTCAAGTGTCCATCTTTCATCGCTGACCACTTCCACCACTCCAGCCATCAAAACCCTCTTCTTCTTCTCCAACCGGAACGCGAAGGTCAATATATTTCTCATTTATATTTGCTCGATCGTGAGATGCAAGTTCATGATCTTTCGAACTTGTTTGATGCCATGCGGATCATAGGTTCCTGCAATGGCTTGCTCTGTGTTGAAATCGATGTGCAAGGTATACATCCTCCTCTCCTTTTTTTGCTTAATCCGGCGACAGGTGATGTCATAATGTTGCCCAGGACTGTTGATGATTTTGAATGCGAATGCCGTTTAGGATTTGGGTTCAGTCCCATGGTTAATGATTACAAGATAGTGAGAACTTATGCTGAGTATAAGGATTCGATTTATCAAGTGGAAGTGTATTCATTAAGCACTAGGTCATGGAAAGAAGTAGAATTCGATTACATGGCGGGTACACGATTTGTTAATGATGCTATAACTGCTAATGGATCTATGTTTTGGATTGGGTTACTAGAAGATTGGGAGATGGGAGGAGATGATATTGAGGTGGTAGTTTCATTTGACATAGCATTGGAACTGTTTGAATTTGTACCAATACCTGCGTTAGGTAATAATGCAATGTTTCATATGATGGTGTATGAGGACAAACTTGCTATACATTCCCTCGTTAGGGATGCAGACCCTGGTTGTATATTTGATTTGTGGGTGATGGAGGAGAATATTGGTGCATCTTGTGGGGAGAGACGAAGTTGGACTAAGATATTCTCTAGCACCTGTTCAGCTGTTGGCTTGTTTATTCCATTTCCATCCATTTTTTGGGGGGATGAACTTGTCTACAACATTCATGAACTACCTGGACTTGATGGTGAAACCAAAAGTGAAGCTGAGAATGGAGCGAGGACAGTTCTTTATTTGTTAAATATCAGTACTAATAAATTCAAGATATTTAACACCCGTAAATGTAGTACTTGGCCTGCGCGTATTTTCAATTATGCACAAAGTCTTGTGCCTGTGAGTAAAATCCCCATTGAAGAGCCTTCATCCTAGGTATTCTTCATTACATTGCGGGTTCACTTTGTTTAAGCAATTTTGGTGGAAAGGAGTCCATGGCAGATTGACAGCTTAGATGATTCTGTACCTATGGCTATAATCCTTTGATGCCATTTAAAGATGCTATCTAGAATGATGAATTTAGATTTTTAATATATGATGTTTTTGACTTTATTTGACTTATCTATAATATCAAGTTATTTTGTTTTGCTTGAAGGACGGACATGTATAGTTGACTTGCTGCTGTATGAATTTTGTGGGACTTGTCCCTGCAAGGAAGAAGAAAAGCCAGGGGAAGCGAATTTGGATGTTTTGCCTTTTCCTTTCATTTAATAGCAAGTGTCTGTTTGTGATGCTGTATCGTTTATGAAGGATAAGATTAAATTTATTAGATGATTTCTTTATTTTGTTTTTTGGTCTCTTATCTTATGAAATTTAAATCTGATTTCTCTTCTTCAAAAGTCATATTAGTTAAATTCTTCTTTTCCTTCCAAAACATAAAGAAGGAAAATAAGCATTTGAGACAAATTATTTTTCTATGTTAAGCATGACCATCCATAAACAATGAAAACTTAACTTTCTCGCTCTGATAAGTATATTAAATATAATTCCACTCGCACTTTCAATCTCATATAACCTGGCAGTTTAATTTTAAATGATCACTGTTCACCCAATCGCTCTTCACCAAAATTGCTTCCATGCTTTTGGAACGATATTAATTTACTTGATTGTCTTAGAAATTTTATTATATTTTTAATTAGGGAAACATTCTTCAGATATTTTGTGTTTAGATTTGATGAAAATCCTTTTATCAGATATTATTATTTGATTTGCATCTCACCATTTGTTTCCAGACAACTAAAGCCCTGAATACTAACCGATAGAATTTACAAGTTGACAGTAAAAAAGAAGGTAAGAACTGATAATTTTGTCAAATCTCAAGGATCCATCCTTAACGCACCAACGAAACACTGGGCTGCAGAAAACAGCATAATAGGACTTTGCGCAAGAGACTTCTCATCCTTTGTCAAACAGCATAGGGATCATTTAAGAAGAGATCTGGTGAAATGTTCCCTAGCTGTAGCCAATGCTTGGCTTATTGTCTGCAGTAAGCACCCAAAAAAAAAAAAAATTAGAATTCTAATAAAGGAGTTCCCATTCCATTCCTCTTCTAAAAACTATTTAAAAGAAAGTTGTAGAGCATACCTGTTCAGACAAAGAAACGCTAGAATCTAGACTAGTATTTGCAACTTTTTCAGCTATAACATCCGGATCAGTTTCCAGTATTATACTGCACATAAAAGAATAGACGAGCTAAATTCTAATACAAAGGACATTTATGACTACTGAAATCACAATGGCAGCTGAAAGGTACTAAGAATGGTGAAAATCAAAAGGTTTAGCTAAGATATTAAGAAAAGAGTATATGTTTCAATTAACGGTCAGAGCTTGATTCCACCAGGATACACATGGAGGATAATATCCTGAGTCATATCAGAGGTGCCCTTGAGACAAACCAATAAGTGGTTTGCGTCCCACTTGTTTACTGAACTCCACAAAGCAAGTGATTCTACATAGTGGATCTATCTCTCCCCAAACCTTCAATTACGCTATCACTGCACAAGAGGCCCGTTTGATCATTTTATGTCCGGATGTGACATAACAATGTCATGTAATGAGGACACAAAACGTACGGGTTCCATTTTAACAATGGTCTCCACATTTTGAGGACTCCACACACTGTATCTATCAGCTATTCCTGAATGAGGAAACCCTAAAGTACAGTAGCCAATTAAAATATAAAAAAAATACTATGGTGGGGATATGTGACCATTGGATTTTACCACACACAAGACATAAAGTAAAGTCATTTTAGGACCAGATGTTCATGGATGAAAAGACTGTAAAGTTTGCAACAGTAACACAGTGAATTCAAACTCCACTCCGACAGGGAATACCAAATGAAACTTTTGCCAGTATTTCCATTTGTCGTTATATTGCACTACATAAAATCCATATCGCATTCTTATTCTAGACTCTAGAACAATCAAATTCAAAGAGTACCAAATTCTACCGTGATTATGTTCCTTGTTACCTGCATGAAAGTTCAGAGAAGTTCTCTCTTTATCAATCTCTCCAATGTTATACTTTGTAGTTTATTTTTCTCCTTTCTTATTTGCTTTTTTTGGTTTCTTTTAGGGGATTAGAAAAATGTATATACCATACCCGCCATCAGCAATTTCATCAATACATAATAGAATGAGATCCAAGTTCTCAAGAGCTTCACTCTTTTCCACCCTGCCTCTGGACAAAAACAAGTGATGGCAGTACCAAGTCAGTACTCAATGCATCCATCAATGCCGTTTTATAAGACAAGACCTTACACGTACATATATAATAGTTAAGAACAAGAAAATAACCTTAGCAGAAGACCAACGGCATCATAAAAACCCTGAAGAACTGTGGCCAGGATAATTTCATTTTCATCTTCACCCCCACTAACAAAAAAGTGAAGGTCTTGGGCAAACTTGTAAACCACAATGTTATTCTCAAAGATTGCTATTTCCGCTGTAAATGAAGGCATATAAAGATATTGAATGTGAAATTGATATACTCACAGAGAAACGTCATAAAGAAAGTTGTAAATTGCTATCTACTCCCATATTAGATAAACTTAGAAAATAAATCAATAAATAAAACCAACTGTTAATGTTAGAATGTATAATGGATGATACTATAATTTGAACTCTTAGCATTCTGCTAAAAACCAATACCTTTAAGAGTCATGTAATTAATACTAAAGATACCAACACAGACAAGTTCCATTTCAAATGGAAAAAGCAAAGAACAGGGTAAACAAACTCATTTGTGATACAAAAGGCCACACGGAAATGAGAAGAGATCACCCACATTCTGTGCGGGCATTGGTTTTTTGAGTCTTGTTGAATATAGCTTTCTCAAACGCCTCCTTTGCACTATTTGTTGGCCAGTCATCTGAGTAATATTTAACAGCCACACGTTTCCCCTCAGAATCAAGAAGAAGGATGTTTTTCACAGAAGGACATGAATCCTAAAACGCAAAAAGTAAAGGATCAAAGTTAGAGTACTTTCAATAAAATTAGGTCTTGAAAAGGTAACAAAGGATGTTTTCCATCTTAACACCACAAACCATTTTTCTGCTTTTATAGGTTAGGGTAAATAGTAAAGGATATGGATCATAATCGGATTGGTCATGCTAGCTAACAGAGCAGTGCCATGCATTGTTGGAAATGCAAATTTCGAAATGGCACCTTGAAGCATGTTCTACATGTGCCATCCATTCTGGGATGTCGCCCTCACCCATCAATATAGAGGTTTTCATTGTTGTTTGTTTTCTCTAATTCTCTCTCTCTCTCTCTGTGTTTCTTTTTTTTTTTTCCCTCCCGCTCTCTATATTCATGCCTCTTTCTCCTTTTTTCTCCATTTCATGGCTTTATCCATACAAGCACTCTTCTTCTTACCTGTTTCATCTCTTTCACGAATTCATCAATTTCATATTAAATGTACCATGGCTCAAAGGGGGTCCTTCTGTAGTTATTGTGTGCTCATCTCTAACAACTATGGTATCAATAAATTTTATGTCAATCATTTGTCATAGAATTTGTCAATTGTAATATCCTAGGCTGTAGTTAGCAAGGGACAACTGGAAAAATCATACCAAGAAATATACAGAAAATTGCCAGGAACCTCGAAGAAGCAGATAATAGACATAAGGTACAAAACCAAGAATTATTAACACAGATCTGCTAGATAATTATAAATATAGTTCATCACGCCTGGTTGCCTACAGCATCCAAATCTGAAGATTTTTTCCCCCCGTAATTCAACTGATCCTAATCAAGATGGATATGCCAGAAAGTTGTAAAAATGAATTAAATTCCAAATAGCCATAACATTACATGCAAGTAAATTTCTCCATATTTCACAATGAGAACTCAAACAATATATCACTGGCCTGGCTAGTTTTAAATCTAGATGACCTGTTTGCAGCCGATTGAAATGTAATATAAATATTCAAATGAATGGAACACACCGTATGATTATCAATAGATCGTGTATGAAATAATTCATGCAAATAGTAAATCCACTGAAAACAATCAACAATCTCAGTATTGAGATGATATGCAAATGGGCGTGTACAATTCATTTAGCACGCTGAACTTATCTACATAACATCACTTGTATATGATCTATTCAGAGTATCGAAATAAAACCGATTAGAAAACTCAGATCTACATCACTGAATACTCACACATGTACCAGCAGCGCAAGTGAAACAATAATCAAGCAAAGGGGATGATTCGACCCATAGACCAAGTATGCGAGGTGAAATCATCAGACGAGGTGACATGTAGAAGGGAATTCAATGCACGACATAATCCAGAACAAGAGTCACCCGAAATAATCGAAAAAATCATAAGCGCCAGTGAACTGACAAGGTCCTGAGACGGTCTGTGAAAATTGACTTTGGGAAGGTGAGTTAGTCACAGAAAGAGAGCTTACTGTGTGTGGACGAGACATTATCTGCAAGTTTCGCCGACGTCGTCGCCGAGGGAAAGGAAAACGGAGAGAATTTCTCAGTGAGGCTGTAGACTTTCTCGTGATCCAACGCGGTTTTGATGATCAAATTTTTATGAAGCGGTCGGTTTTGGTCGTTTCCTCCCTCGCTCGCTCTCTGTTTTGTCCCCCGAAAATTTTCTGCTTATTAGGTGGGCCTCTTCAGTCCAAAAAAAAGGTGGGCCTCTAATGTTCCCTATGCATTTCAACTTAACTCAAAGAGTGCTTGGGCCCCCAGAAAAAAATCCTTCTAAACTTTATTGTTCATCACTGATTTGACAATAGTGGTACTTTTTTTTTTTTTCAACCGGATAAGTGACAATAAATTTTGATACTCAATATTTGGTATTAATTGTATAATTTGTTTTTTTTATTTTTCTTAAAATAAGAATAACATTTTTTCGCTAAAAAAAAAATAAAAATTTATTATGAATAGTATTGATTGAGTATTTTAATATTTTGATTTTTCTTCAATAAAAAAATTAGTTACAATACAAGAACGATAACATTTATGTTTAGATTCCATTTATTCAAATTACTTATAAATATATAATTACAAAAAATCAATAAGTGTAGATAAGAGACGTATAATTTAATATAATTCTTATAATTAATGATTATTATTTAAATATAATTATACGTTAAGAATTATTATTAATAAGGGTAGATAGAAGAAATCTTAATAGCTGAACCTCTATCATGATTTTTCAATCACAAAAACTACTTATGCTTAAACATCCAGTGGGATTAGAATCATTATTTATCAGATTTAAAAAAAAAAATTTAGCCAAATGAGGTTAAGTTATTCTAAATTCATAGCCATATAACCATCATTCGTACTATAAAAAAGATAATTTCCAATGTAAGTGAGTAGTTATCATAATTCTGATTTCACGTTGATGAACACCCCACTAATCTTTTTTTCCTTTCCCAGGGCACCTCCTCCGCTACCCATGTTTTGCTTAAACACGCTTCTGCATTTTGAAGCAAAATGAAATTTTCTTTTTTATTTATCAAGTAAACATACAAATATTTGAATTTTTTTTACCTGACATTATATATTTGAATTTACATGCTAGAAATCTATTGTTCCAACGATTTTTACCATCAGACTAGAAAATATCCCATGCAATGCTTGCATCAATAAATAGTTTCAGATGAAAATTATATATCGAATGAAATACGATTTCATAGTACTGACAATCAAGAAGCATCATGTCTTCTAACGATGTATGATGAAGTAGTCTCCATCATTCTGCAGATTATCAGCAGCAGTAGGGGGTAAGTTGTTCCTTGAAACGTTCCTCCCATGGACTTGGGCATGAGTCTCAGCTTCATGTTGAAACATCTTCACCAGCTCTTGCAGCTCCAGCTTCCTAACTTCCACTTGATCCTCAGGGATGGGATTTTTCAGCCCTAGGTAAACCAGGCCTACTATGATCAGCACTAGTCCTACGAAGAACAAGATTGCCGTGAACACACCAAATGCATATGGTGTGTTTTCTGCACCAGGTATTCCGTCGACATTGATTCCGAATAAGCCGGTAATGACGGTTAGAACCACACCACAACCACCGAATACAGCTAAATTATGCGTCACACGAAGACTTCGATCCTGAAATAACATGCACAAGACACAAAACAGTTCTCATGCTAAGCCATGTCTGTGTTTGACACAAGTTACCTTCAAATTGGGCTTGACACCCCGTATTATAGGGGGTGTCACTGTGTGTTTGTGTGTCTGTCGCATGCTGACTTTCAATTTTCATGCATTCTTTCAAAACAGTTCTCACGTGAAGCCATGTCTGTATTTGACATCAAGTTACATTTAAAATGGACTTGACATCCCAGATTATAGGTCGTGTCATAGTGTCTGTGTCTATCTCACATGCCAGGTTTCAATGTTCATGCAATTTTTGTCTTCAAATTTAGAGAGGCAGGTATTAACAGCTAGGTTACAAGTGGAATTAAACTCACAACCTCTCATTTGTAGGAGAGCATTCACACCACTAGGCTACTAGGCCATTGGCTATGTTCATGCATTCTAAAAGATAACTAAGCATCATTAATATGTAGGTTCATGGGGATTAATACCTGCAACCATGCACGCACGTTGCTCTGCATGACATCTTGAATGGTGAATAAGCGGCCACGAACTGCTTCTTGCTCTTCAATCATTTCCCTTGTGCTCTTCTTTACTCCCTCTAACAAGTTTCTCACTGCACTTCCTCTCAGATGTTGGAGAAGCTCAAAGACAATCTCCTCTCTTGCATGGAGTGACCACTTCACCCTGATAACCTGCAGTAAATATACAATATTGAATATGACTAAATTATCAAACAAATACATAAAAATACAGAGGAATTACAATCAAGTCCCACAGAAGAAAAATAATCACCAAAAAGTCCTAATAACAACCTCAACAGCCTATAATGACAAGTCATATATTAAAAATGACAATCTTTTGGACTTGTTTTTCATTGTTTTCCTTGCTTGGAACCTCATTGTAATTCTCCCTAAAAATACTTGCAGCAGGCAAGAGGTGTAAAAATTCTTCATAAGAAAAATTCTGACAGTGTCACAAACAATGAGTTGCACCACAAAATAGATCTTATATTCAGGACTGGAGGTAGTACATTGTATTGTAAGCTGGTGATAGATTGGGGAAAAAAAGTTGGGAATTTAAACACCTTCCATATTTGCATTTCATGAAACGTTTTCCATTATTCCAAAAGAGAGAAAGAGAGTCGGGTAGCATTAGATGCCTGATAGATGATCAATTGTCACTTGTCAGGTGTGCTTCAAAGAAAGGACGCACACCCGCATACATATTAAAATCAGCTGGTCCATCTCAACATGTTTGGATACGGGCTTAAGACTTTCAAATTTAACTCACACTTGAATCAAGCCTCTCCCTCAAAAGAGGGTCCATGCTTCCCTCTTTCCCTTTTCCATGGTTGATCTGCTTTGATACCATTTTTAAGACCTGAGAATCCTAAGACTTACAAAATCTTCATTGAACTTTCTTCATGAAACTTTCGGAGCATATACTCAAGGACTCGACATTAAATCATGTTTTAAACCTCATGGCATTAGGTCTATATATCCTTTCTGCTTATAAAATCCTGTTCTAATTCAATTCCGTCCAATGTTGATCTGTTTCTCACTTTCACCCTTGAACCCAACACAACAGCCAATAGAAATTGAAATTTCACCAACCACTATGATCGCGCAAACTTGCATCTCTCACTTCGATTTGTCATACTTAAATTTTGTACTAGTTGAAACTTCTCCAAAACTAAATTCAACTGTACCTAAAATTGATATCCTTGGGATTACATTATTTCAAATTTTCTAAAATAAAATTGCTCCATCTTTATTTCCTGAAAAAATCAACCATTGAACTGACATCTAAATCCAACCATTTGACTGCTCCTACCTTATTTTTCTATAGATGGTCATAGAAATGTAACTCTCTACAAAGCACATATATCAGCTATTAGGTTCAAAAATTACTACTCCCTCCGGTTCTAAATATAAGACCCATTTTGTAACACTACAAAATGGGTCTTATATTTAGGACCAGAAGAATATAATATAGCTGGGTTTTCACTAGTTAGAACCATATTCCCTACCAAACTTCAGTTTTTCATGTTTAAGAGGATTGAATTCATTACTTAAACTAGGACCAAAAGACAATAATCAGAGAAAAAAGGAAAAGGGTCATTGGAAATGGAAAAAGATCTGGGACAGAGTCAATGGAGCCCCATAGCCCACTTCCTCTTCTCTTTGCTTCTGCTTAATCTCTTGTTAACAATATACCGTGGATAAAAGCTGAAGTTAATTCATACTAAAACACTACAATGGCTCCCATTTCATCCTTAAGAAAAGTCATAATAGCCTCATGTTCAGTTTTAAAGATATATAAAAAGTACAAGCTGAATCCTGACTAAATAAATTTGACTTGCACTAGACTTTCAAAGTTTTTGTAAGAATCAAGTAACTTTGCACCATTTGATACTTCTATGTGTCATGGACATCTTGTGCTTCATTACATTTGACACGTAATACACTCAAACTGAGCTGTCCAAAGCATTGCCCAAAAAATTAAGAATAAAGAACTACACTGTCCAAGCTATTATATAACCAACTATTGCTGACGTAGCCTCCAGTGCCTTATTTGTAGTCATATCAGTCATTCTCTACGAAATCAAACTTTTACTAATTGATGAAATGGATGTGCGACGATGGCAATTCCAACAATTTTCACCTCCATTCAAATAACACTCCTATCACCATTACCATTTCAACAACATATTTCAAACAACTAATGCCAATTTGCATTTACAGACAAATATGCCCTTTGATCCTATTTCCTCACATGTTTTTAAAGACAAATAGATCAATTATTATTCACAATGCATTCTTCTTACCTAGTCAACTAATCAGAAACATTAGTAAGTGTTAAAATGATCAAGCAGCAAGTAGCAAATCCTCCAGAAAGGTATCTCTAAACCAGCAAAAGTCAACATACCTGTCTTGATAACCTTCTGATTTCTTGATTAAGAATTACACTAAAGAGATTCAGGTCTTCATGGTTTCTCCTAGGAAAATAAAAAAGTGTCAATTTTAGTATAAAGCTCATTCAAAGTGACATAATGACTTAATTCATGACCTAAAGTATATTTGGGAACCTGTTCACGAACTTCAATTCAATCTCATCTGCTGCACCAAATATAGATTTACGGAATAGCCTGGATGACTAAAGAAAAAGTCAAACCAAGGTAACAAAACTTGAAAGTCTATAATGAAATTAATAGCAATCATACACCTGAACTACAACTCAAGCAATGGAAGCATGAGACCAATTTCACAAATCTGAATACTGCTTTTCTAAAGGGCAGCCTAAGATACAGTCCACCAACACAATCCATGCATCAGATGAAAGAAGTTGAATAAACTTCAAGTGCAGAGAAAAACATGGCTTGCTACAAACCTATCAACCATACTTTTTGGTAGCACTTATCTTTAAGACATCAAACACATATGAGGAAAGGTGAAGGATTTAAGTTCCAGAAACTAGTTCAAGCATTTTGTTCTCTGTCATAAGCTTGTAACTGCCTTCACATACAGACCAAATTTCCCCCTTGACATTTAGATTTATTCTGTACATGTTGAGACCATCTTACGTAACTCTCCCCCTATATTGCCCTTCTCTTTAGACAAAGAAAATTATTTTTCTTCTCCTTACATCTATGTTGAAATTTCATTCATTCATTGAGTTTATGTGTATGGGGGAAAACGTAGTTTTACACTGGTTATCAAGAAAACAAAACCCACTCTCTCTCTCTCTACACCCACACACGCACACGCACACGCACACGCACACATCAATGTGAAGAAATAAGAATAGCACTAATAAGGACGGTAGGTTGGTGAAGGGTCAACTTGTTTTCAAAGAGAAATTTCACTTAATCACTCTATGTAACAAGTATACAACTGCTGAAGGAAAATAATGACGCTTAAAGAAACTAAAAGAAGTACATGTTTATATATATAAAAGAAATGTCCACACCTATCATCCCATCGAGAAAGGCGGCATGCAAGCTGTGCTATAACTTCATGGACTGTTCTGGGCACGTTGTACCCTCCTGCAGAAAGAAGCTCCTAATCAAAGCAAAGCATTGAAGCTATGAAATCAAAAATATTACTACCCATTAAAAGAATATGCCAAGCAAGAACAACCTGAACTTCTGTGATTCCCAGAACATTTACACTCGGAACTGATCCTTTTACATGCATTACGGTTACTAGGAAGTTTTGAGCTTGCCAAGACCTAAGTACAATGGGGATGTCATCTTCATCAACAAGAGGGTCACCAACCGATTGTCCCAAGAGCTCAAATAACAGCCCCCCAGCAACTCTGACAGGGACCTACTTAAATTAAATTATAATTAATATCAAGGGAAAAAGGTATAAAATTTATTGTAATGCCGTGTTACAAATATTATTACTAATATGAAATCTAAAAGGATCCCTTCTACTCCTCCGGTGTTAAATGTAAGACACACTACAAAATGGGTCTTATATTTAGAACCAGAGAAGTACCATCTATAATATCATAATTGATGAACACCCATAATCACCACTATAGATCATTTGTTGAGGTTTATTTAGGCATTAATTGTCATTGTAACATAAACTTTGATTAAAAATAAAACTATAGAAAATTTTCAATCCCTCACAAAGTCCCCAGACACAATTACTAACTTTGAACTGTGTTGCAGATGTTCTGTATCAGCTCATAATTACTTAGGCTATTACTAATGTGCATCTAAATGATCAGTGTAAACTAGATTAAGTGATAGAATAGATTGCAAGATGATTTACATGTAAGACTAGTAATCACGTATAGGATAAGTAATTAAAAGGCAATATACCTCATACAAGAGATGTTTCATCCGATCACTTATCAGCCGACTTTCATCTCTCAAAGCCAAACTAATGGCAGGATGTAACCATTGAGCATTGCTGAGCCAAGCTTCAATGTTTGGGTGACCTGCAGAAACATGGCACCACCATATAGGCCCAGCAGGACGCTCCCAATAGGGAGCTGCCAGATCAGCCACAGTGCGATCATCTTCCTCATCAGCAAACTCAAAGTGTTGAGAGGACCAGACTGTATCAACCTGAACTTTCTGGACGAGTTCGGAAATCCTTGCCCATCCAATTGGCACCCAATGACTACCATCATATTTTTCTGTGACATCGGATTGACTAAACTGAAGGACCTTGCTGTCCTTTTCATCATCTATGGCATGTAACCTACTGCCCCTCAAGTCATTTGCAGATGACAAATCTGATAACTTGTTTCCATATAACCTCGGGGAAGAGGAATCTATCAGATCATTTAAAGGATCAAGCATTTTTGAATATTCACCTTCCATTTGTAATCTATCTGAGGTCCTTGATGAGTGCTTTGACTTAATTGATCTTCGCCGACCTCGAACAAATTCAAATGCACAAATAAGACCATCAGTCCAAAGGTCATCTCCAGGATTGGGATCTCTACTGTGATTGGTTCTACAGTTTTCTGGATTCGTACGTTTCCCCTGGGAATTTGAGTCGTTCACTGTGTCACTCATTTTATCTTCACCTTTGGACATATAGAAAACCAACCACACTTATCAAGGCAGATTTTGGAGTACAATCTTCACAGGACCTGTCACTCTTTAATCAATGAATGGTTTCAATAGTGATAATCACAGTGATTAATATTTGACCGCCAAAAGAAAGCTTTCCAGGATTATCAACAAATAATGCTGCAAGTCAAACAGAAACATATGTTAATATTCTACTTCAGATAGCTCATATATTAAACAAATGAGAATCAGGAGAAAGGGTGAAAGAAAACTAAACTAAAATGACCAATGCTTCCCACACCTATGACAAGCACATAAAACTAATTCAATTAATTGCAGTAAGAGGTTTCACATAAAAGTTCTAAGAACGTGTCTTAACTTTTAACCACATGAACTTCTTTGTGATTACGTATCTGCGGAGACGAGAGACAAACAAGGGTATACATAATAAGCATATTTTTTAAAGACCTACTCTCTCGCGCGCGAGCATTCGGATCACCACTTTAACATGTTCTTACAATACTTGACAACCGTCCCGTGTCCAAATTAATGAGAAGAATAAAAACAGAATAGGGAAAATATAACTTCATGCGCCTCGATAATTCAATCAATAAGTAGTCGAGTAAATAACGAACACAGATACCATCCAGACACCATGAACTAAGGAAAATCAAGTAAATTCCATAAACATAGAAACATATCAGCATAATTGGCAGCGAGAATAAGATGCAAGAAGAGGACATAAACACAAGCATTCTCAGTCTTACAAGTCGAAACTATGGCTCCGATCTTGTGAGCGGAAGGAATATCATGTTGATGAAAATAATTACCAAGGAGACAGTCCAGAAAGGTGTATGAGAAAAGAAAAAGGAATTAACCCGAAGAATGTGAAGAGTAAAGATTAAAGAATGAGATACTTCAAAATGCTGAAAGGGGCTCTCCGGAAAAAGAAGAGAGAGAATAATATGCAGTGGGGGGTACACAGTGTCGGAGCAGACAGGGAAAAAAGGCTGGGGGCGATGTGGATTGCTTTATTCAGTTATTCGCGGCAAAAGAAACACTCTTGCGTATTTGTCATGCCAAAATTTGGATTCTTTATTTCTCTTTTTCTCTCCTCTCCCTCCCCCCTGTCACTCTACCAACCCTTGTGAAAATGTAATCTCTCTGACTGCTCATCAATATTGTCAATGTTTACCGGCAAAAAAATATGTATTATAAATAATTTTAAACTAGAAAAATTGCAATAATGTCTCACTTAAAAAAATTAAATATAAAAAGATCTCCTAAATATCAAATTATTCTGAAGTCTTAAAGAACCTCATTACAAAGAATTTATTTATTTAATTATCAAATTACTTTTTTTTAATATATATTGATAACTGAAAAAACAATAGTTAACAACTTAATATGTAAGGATTAACAACTATCACGATAGATATTAACACCTCATGTTTTTTTTTGTAATGTATTGAGAAAATGTGTTGTTAATACCTGACGTGATAATTGTTAATTGTTACACTTTAAATTGTTAATAATTACACTTTCAGTTATCAATGTATGTGCTTGAAGAGAAATAAGGACAATTTAGTAATTAAACAAATAAATTCTCTTACAATAAGGTTTCTTAAAACTTCATAATAATTTGATGATTTTAAGATTTTTTTTATATTTAATTATCTTGGATAAGACTTTATTACAATTTTTTCTTTTAAATTTTGTATCATACTCAAAAAAAAATGTGGGCTTGAATTAGAAACACCATGAAGAAGTAGCAGCCCCAAAAAGGAGACAAAATTTGCCAGAAAAGGTAAGATACGATGCTAAAAAACGTATTTGGATTTTTTTTTTTAATTCACTTACTTCTTTCTTTTTTTTTCAGAAAATTAATATACAAGTCCATGTAGTTTTACCTGACTTCTAATGAGGTATTTGGGTGTTCTCTTCTGCATCCTTCACCTGATTAAAATATGTGGAAATCAGTTGAAACTACAAGAATATAATAAAAAATTGTAGGAACTTTATTAAAACTCAGGTAAAACTACATGTAGACATGCTATAAAAAAAACTACATAAACCTCATTAAAAATCAAGTGAAGCTAGAGAGACTTGTTAATTTTTTTTATTTTCTATTTTTGTTATTAATTGCGATGAAGAGATTGACTTTAACTGGAGTTACAGGAAAAGACTTTAAAGTGAAAAGGTTTCTACTTCTTGAATAGAAGTAAACAGAATATACACCCTACAATTTTGATAAGAGGTAAGTAATTTTGATTTCTTGTTCCCAAAGTTTCGAGCTTCACTTTCATCATAAGAAAACTTTTTCTCCGACCTTTACATAGATGTTCAATTTTCATTCATCCATCAACATAATTATTCCTGCTCCATTGCAGGATATGAGAATCCAAACCATTTATTTTTGTTATTATTGCGTTGTACTAATCCTAAAGATGTTTGCATGAGTTTCAATTATATATACTCCAATTCTTAATACTAACCCCGGTCCTTAATATAAGAACTCGTTTGATTTTTATTTTGATTCTAAATGTAAAACTCCAATTCACTTTGTCCCTCATATTTATCTATTTTTTTAAAGTAGTACTTGTAATAATGATAGTTCTAGTTAATACACATGATTAGCAAAAATATTTTACGAAAGACAATACCTATTTATTACAAATAACTAATTTAACTAGTTTTTTAAATCTATTTAAATTAGTTAACTAGTTCTTATATTAAGGATATGAGATAGTATAACAATTAGACATGAATGATTTCGTTTGGTTATATACTCATTTTTTTTTCCAACAAATACTCAATCCATTTTGGCGTTCAAAATATAAAATTTTTTCATAACTTTTCCTAAAAAATAAAAATTGCATGTATTAGAGGAATTTTTCATCAAGAAAGTAATTTTTATGAAAATAATTAAAAAGGTTTTTAAGAAAAATCAACACAAATCTTTAATGAATAACTAATTTAATTAATTTTTGTAGTCACTGCGAATCAATTATCCAACTTATACATTTAATATCGTAGTGCTTTACATCAAGTGAACTGTTTTCTTATAAATTGGGCGTTTTCTAAAAGAGAAATTGCAAAAAAAGACATTGGAATTGTGAAAACGCAGATATGAACCATTGATAACTTCATTGAGTTTTGACAATTTCATGACATATTATTATTGTCAAAAGCTATAGTGAAGTTGTCAATGGCCCTTATTTGCGTTTTTACAATTTCAAGATTTTTTTTTTTGCAAGTTTCCCTTTTTTAAATTACACTGTCAATAATTTGTAAAAATTGAAAATTCTGTGCGTCACATAGATCACCGTCATTAATAAGCACCATTTTTTCAAAAACCGTTTTCAAATTGCAACTCCGAGAACTTGTAGAGCATCGAACAAAGTTGATAAAAATTCCATAATCGTGTCCACATCATCATTTTTTTCTTGAATAATTTAAAAATTAAAGCAAGCAAGCAGGCTATTTTTCATATATATATATATATATATATATATGTCATTTTATTTTGTAGGATATACGCATTTTGAACTATCTAATCTCTAATGATGATTAGAATCTTTAAAAATAATTTTTTAATCATAATTTATGATTTACAAGATAAATATATAAAAACATTTTATCTTAGTTTATACGAACGTGCTTATAACATGACATTTCATTTTGTAGGTTATATCAGTACACACAATATAATGAATGAATATTTACCACATAAATATGATGAAGCTAATAAATCAAAAATATACCCTACAAAATCATGAGTCTAACTTTTGAACAATGTGTGTTAGTAGCATTTTCAAGGGATCTTCATTATGAATTCATGGTCTTAAAAAAAAGATATGGGAACTTTGAAATACTACATCCGATCTTTAATAAAAGAGTTCATTTAAATTTTATTTTAGTTTTAAATATAAAATCTCAATTCACTTTGTTTCGTTTTCATATTTATCTATTTTTTCTCAAGATAATCCTTATAATAATAGTATATGCCAATATATTTGATTAGTAAAGATGTTTTAAAAGATAATATCTATTCATTATAAATAACTAATTTAATTAATTTTTTTAATCTATTCAAATTAGTTAATTAATTTTTATATTAACGACCAGTCAAGCTAGCTATATGACTCTCTGTTTTTAGTTGTTGACTGATGAGAAAAAGACATCTCGTAGCGGGGAAAATCGATGGGCTTTTCAAGAGGCGGGCGCGAGCCGAGTTCATATTTCCTTTGCGTGAACAGCTAAAACGTTGTTTTTTTTTTTTTTTTTTATAAAAAAAACCATAATCAGTGTTTTTGGGGCCAATATCTTTTATCTTGAGTACGTGTCGATGAAGTTTTAAATATTCTTTATCTGGTTAGATACTTGAATACATAATCTTTGTCATTAATATTATAAAGATATTTAGATTCAACTTTTTATATTACGATTTCCATAATAAAATTATTATTATTATTATAATACAAGTTCACTATGATAAAATGATCACTTTGCAATCACGTGATCTTTTAAATATTACATATCAGTGTTATCAAAAAAATACGGTAACTATAAATATAAAGATATATCAATCATGATTTGCTATCAATATTCTCTTTAGCCAAATCAGATTTTAATTCTTATTTTATAATAGAGTTATGCAACTCTTTTATCTTTTACTACTATCTATATAAAAGGAGATTACGGCTAAAATTCTGAATTATGGATTTCATTCCTATTCTGAGCCAAGGAAATTAAATTCTGTAATCAATTTTAAAATAAAATATACTCTAATCACCTTTTTTTCTTAATTACATAAACTTTGCCTCTATTTTGAAAACATACATTTTAATCCAAACTAGTAATACATTGTTAATTAAAGAATATTCTAAAAATATTCTTAAAGTATATTTCTTAATTAAAAATCATAATAGAATAAATACTGCTTACTAATTTATCTTTAACTTTATATAAGGTTTTATTTTGATCGCTTACCTTTAAAAAGTAAACTTTTAGTCATCTAACCCTAGAGTCGTTAACAAAAAATGATGATATCAAACTTTTGAATATTAATAACATAATACTAAATACTATAATATTAAGTTTAATTTTTAAAACAACTATGATTGTTTAAAAAAAATTATCATTTAAAACTAATAATTTTAGGGTTAAAAGATTAAAAGTATACTTTTTAAGTTAAGTGATCAAACTGAAACTTTACATAAAGTTAAAGGACTAAATGTATAATTTATCCTGTATTAAAACTATTTACTTATACTGATATGACCGATTAAACGATTATTTTCAATGCACTTAAACAATTAGGATAGTTGGAAGAATTTTAAAATTTCAAACCACTCAATTATATTGTTTCTCTTAATAAGCATGCACAAGGTGAAAATAACTTATATTTAAAACGAAGAAAGCATTTGATTTTCCTTTGTCTTAGTAAGTTTAGAAAGTTTTGGTTGTGTTGCGATTAATTAATGTCAAATGCTCTTCTTTCCCGATTACGTTGTTAAGTTATGTTCTAATAAATTTCAAATTACAATTACAATTCTATCTATGTATGGCTGATGGAACTTAACCAATTAATACTTGTCGCAAATAGGCAAAAAAAGAAAAATCATCTGGGAAAAAGTAAAATAGAGTTTTGAATTTTCAGATAATCAATAGGTCAAATATAGCCAGAAACATCTCGTATTAAAAATCTACCCTTCATCACATTCTATGTAATAAATCTAAAATGACAAGGATTATTTTCCACCAAAATAGTCAAATAAAAAGAAAATTTGCATTATAATAAAATTAACCTTTAGAATAAAGGTTCTTCAAGGTGAATGTTGCCAATTGGTACGAGACTTTCCACGTGATTGAAAACATCATCATAGAATCCAGGGATCATAGAAATCCTACCCTCATTAATACTAATGATCTCAGTAAAAGATTGACAAACCCTTTGT